GCTGGAAACGGAGCCGCAGCTATAGCAGGGATCGCAGCCGCAGTGCGAGGAGCCACTCGCAGAGGTCTCTCTCGCGAAAGGGCTCTCGAGGCCATGAGAGCCCCGAGGAGAGGAGGTCCGGGAGAAGAGACTTCATCAGGTCCAAAATCTATCGCTCGCAGTCTCCTCACTATTTCCAGACAGGCCGAAGTGAAGGATCCTCGCTGAAGAAAGAGGACGGCAAAGGAGAGGATCTGAAAGGATCTGGCTCGCTCTCCCAAAACAGCAGCGGCTCTGGCACGGGGAGGGCCTCGGAAGGTGACTGCAGCCCAGAGGAGAAAAACTCCGTCACTGCAAAGCTTCTCCTGGAAAAGGTTCAATCCAGGAAGGTCGAGAAGAAGCCCTGCCTCGCTGATGAGATGATGGCAGGGGCCAACAAGGTGGGCATAAAGCTCAAAGATCCTCCCCAGGGCTACTTTGGCCCGAAACTTCCTCCTTCCTTAGGCAACAAACCGGTTCTCCCCTTGATTGGGAAACTGCCCACCGTTCGGAAACCAAACGCCAAAAGATACGAAGACTCTGGTTTGGAGAGGGGCGAGGAGCAAGAGCTGTCAGATTCCGAGGATGTTTCCCAAGGCCTTGAGGAGGCTCAGCTGGCCGGCCAGTCTCTCCTGGAAGAAGTGGTGATGGTAATTCAGGACAAACCCCTGGATGAGCAGAAACTTGCTGAACCTGCCGTGGAGATGCCGTCCATTCCCCTTGAAGCGCCGGCGCTCCCCGAGTGCTTTGGTTCTGGAGATCTGGTTATGCCGCACGACTTCCTCTCGGATCCAAGCGATGGTGATGGGCTAGAACCCATGGACAGGGGCAGCCAGCCGGTCCCGGTGGAAACCAACATGATGCCCTTGGTTCCAGATGTCGAGCACTTTCCTGGCTACGTGCCTCAGAGCGGGGAGCCCAGCATCGAAGGGGATCGGGAAGGAGGAGAAGATTCCTCTCTAGCGCCGCTCGAGAGCCAGCCGATCACTTTTACACCCGAAGAAATGGAGAAATACAGTAAGCTGCAGCAGGCCGCTCAGCAGCACATTCAGCAGCAGCTCCTGGCCAAGCAGGTCAAGGCCTTTCCCGCCTCAGCGGCCCTGGCACC